TCGAAAAAACTTCAAATTGTTCAAGAGTTCATTCAGGGCACGGGGGAGGAACTGAAGTTCTTTACGCTGGCGCCTTGCGGTCAAGATACTAATGTGTCGCAAATCTGTATTCAATATCACTCTGTTAAGTCACACGATACAGCGGCCTTACATTAAAGATGTGGAACGAAATGTAGGCTATTCATCTTTAAGTAGTCCTTAGGTTACGTAAGTAATGGTGAAGCTTTGAGGATAATTTGGCAACTTTCTACCACATCTAAAAACATTCTTTGCTCTTCTCCTTGCCAGCTATCTGGAGAATGAGGCAAAAAAGCGATATGGCACTGCCTGCACTAACTAAGAAAACTAACCTATTTACACATTAATGATCAATGATATCGACGAAATACTCTCTACTCTTTACGCTTTCCTATTTAGGTTTTTCATTCTGGATGGCCAATCAGTTCTTCCTCTTTCTTTGTTCATAATTCTTGGAAAACAAAGTCATTTCTTACCGATAATACTGATCTGACACCGTGTTCGTATTCTTATGTCTTTTTAACGTAAATCAAGATTATTGAGCCAGAAGTAGATAATACAGATTCTTGCGCAGCAGTAGATTGCTCTTAAAAACGAGCCACGTTGAGCAGAGAATAGAATTTAACTGTTTTGGCCTGCAGCAACAGTTTTCTTTATGGCAGTAACGTCACTGTTCACATTGGGCTTTGCTACCTACTAGCAAAGATATTTGTTTTAAAAAGTGATTGTCCGCTGGCCGAAATCACCTTCTCTTTCTGAAGTTGTCTTAAACAGCGGATGGCTTGAAAGCTACTGTTACATTTCCCTTATTCAAGAGAATAAGCATGATTTTGAAAAATGTCTAAGAAGTATAATTTCCTTGGGCTTTCAATTCTAATTATAATATACAATAAGACACCCAGTTTCAAAAGTTTTTGGTGCATTGATTTTTCTAGAAGTTGTTCAGGGATTCAGAAACGTCATGTTAATACTTAATTCAGTTTGCATTTCTAGAAGCCCATGGGGTTTCATAATTGTGATCGTGAAATCCGTTAAACTATTGAGAATTTAAGTAATTCTAATGTAAGCCATTGCCAAAGTGAATCAAATTCTCATGCAGCAGATAGACATCTTTTATGCGACTAAGTGCAGACACAAGATCTTGACCTTCTTGCTTATGTATACGTAGCTACACAGTATGATACTGGCTTAAGAGAAGATCGAGATGACGCTAAATAAAATTTTTGGTTTATTATGCTTTTTTGACGTTATGTGGACCATGAGTGCAACACTATTAAAGCTTTTCATCATTTTAGAATAGAAGGCTGCTGCTGGTGATCCAAGTTGGCAGTGTAGATATTTTGACTATGATATGTAGAGCTCAAAAATTCATTCAGATATTAGTAACCATTAACAGAAATTCGGTAACTGCTGGATTTGTGCGCAGTGATGCTTGCACACATTTGGCACTTATAATATTGCGTTTTATAAAATATAAGTCATGAGCGATTATGTGTCTGCTCTCAGTTAAGATAGTTCGATTAGTAATTTAATTTTTGAGACATTACTCGGCCGTAATCCGTTCATTCCCACGTAAACAATTTACTCATGCACATCATTTATATAATTTTTAATGACGGCCATCAAATTTAGAACTTCAGGTGGGAGATGTCTACTTCTTCTCTTCCTGAAACAGAGTTAATATAAACTTCTTCCGGGAGATGAGGTAATACAGCTCCACTCGAGCTTACCTCTTTCTTCTCCTCATCCTTCTTCTCCTCCTTCTTTTCCTCATCCTTCTTATCCTCTTTCTTCTCTTCTTCCTTCTTCTCCTCCTTCTTCTCCTCTTCCTTTTTCTCCTCTTTCTTTTCCTCCTCCTTCTTTTCTTCCTTCTTTTCTTCCTCTTTCTTCTCCTCTTTCTTTTCCTCTTTCTTTTCTTCTTCGCCTTCCTAAATTGTGAAGTTGTGGCTATTGCTGCCAGTGTTGCCATAGTTGTATTCATTTACTTTTTTGAAGTCTATGTAAAGACGTTTCGTTCCTTCTGGCTCGCCCTTGTGATCCGCCCATGTTGCTCGTGGAGCCTGGAAATCAAGTTAAGCGAGTACCTTTAAAATTGTGAAAATGTAGCTCACTTTCTTCTCGTCTGGGGCTTTGATAAAGTAAACTGCAAAGTAATGCTTTCCGCTATCAGGGACGGTTTTGCCAGCATTGAAAGTTAGCTGAAAAGAAAGGTTTATCTGCTTTATTATCCATAT